AACTGATTTTTTCGTGTATTTTTTCTTCTGTATAGGGGTAACTGATACCAAAATGGGTTGGTTCTCTGGTTCAGCTGCAGTGCCTTTCGCCAGGGTTTGAGTAGCCACAGTGCCTGTCATGGAGGTTGGAGTAGCTGCAGTGCTTGTCATGAGGGTTGGAATAGCCGCAGTGCTTGCCAGTCTATTTCCCCTCCCTTCCCCCTGAGGGTGCTGCATAATATTAAGCAGTGTTTGGCAGACACTGGCCAGGGCGCAGCACAGTGCAGTAAGTTGTGCCTCTTTGGAATAGACACAGCATTTTCCTTTCAAATATTCTATCACTTCATCAGGGTCCTGCAGTTGTTCAGGAGTGAAGTTCCAAACCATTGGAGGCGAGAAGTTCTCTAGATACCTGCCCATATTCTCACATGCCACCCATGACTATCCAGCCTTGGGGCAGATCTCTAGATGGTATTAAAAAATTTTTGTGTAACCCTAAACAAGATCTGGGACACATTCAGGAGACATAGCAATAAGAGCATGCTGGCTTAAACTTGCCAAGGATATTAAAAAATCTCAAAAGCTGTTGTAATTAGCCTGAAGGAGAAAGGTTCACATTCAGGAGCTGTGACCCCTCCTCCCCACAGCCAGCTCCCCCAGTTATATACCGAACATCCCCTTGGCTAGTTTGGCCCAGCTGTCCTGGCTGTGCCCCCTCCCAGCTTCTTGTGAAAATCAATTGTATCCCAGCCCAACCCAGGACAGCTGCCAGTGCTGGTCTGGGGGCAGGGTGTCAGATGGGTCACTGGGGGGGGGGGCATGCCTGGAGCCAACGCAGCAGAAATCCTGGTGGCTGCCATCACCCCTATGTACTCTGTGCAATCTCCCAGTGTACCTCAATGTCCCCACCAGTTACCTTAAGCTGCAGTCCAGCCAAGAAGTTGTGCTGGCATTTGCCTCAGGCAGTGTTCAGTTCAGCATTGGTTGACTGACTGTGTCTTGAACATAGTCTTTGAAATACTGGGGAGACCTCTCTTCTTGGCAGGCATTTCCTCTTCATCACTCCGCAGGCAGATCATTTCTGCAAAGGCAAGTGTTTTGTTAATCAAACCAGAAAAAATGTTTTCAGTCTCAAAGAAAATAAATTCTAGACATTTTTTCCTCCCCTCTCCACCCTTCACCAGGAGCAAGGAGTCCATTTTGAACCAGCTGGCCATCTAAGATGGGGGATGAGGCAGCATAAGGCTCATTCAGAGGACCAGGATGATGCTTGGCAAGAGATCTAGGCCTTATTCTACCCCACCAGCAAGCACAACCAGGTCTGAAGGACCTTGGGTTGACAGATGCTTTTTCATTTGTTGAATTAATATTGTTCACACCTGCACTACTATAACCCAAATAACACGGTTTGATATACCTACAGCTGTGAGTAGAATTGAGTTCACATCTTCTGTAATTTCAATCTTTTTCGATCAAGCATTGAGAAAAGGGATAGCATTTGAACTGATCTTAATTGAACAGTTTATATGCACTATGCTCATTTATCTTGCTGGTGCCCTGTGAACTTTAAATAAATTCCCGTACTTTCCATATAACTGTGGTCTCCCTGTGTGTATACCATCTCTCTGATTGAACTACAGAAACTGTACAATATGGGGTGTTAGAAGAAGTAGTGGTGCTGGTGTTTCTGATTAAGACCTTTCAGGCTGCTGTGAGAGAGACATTCTCTGTGGAAGCACTGTGTCTTCTGTGTCTTAGGTTCACCTCTCCTCTGAAAGGCTGTGCTCTGGCTGGTAACTTCCACTTCTGGCCCCAGGAGGTCTGGTCATCCAAGAAGTTGTTCTGCAATCTTCTCTCAAAGGATGTACACCTGCTGCTTTGTGTTCAGATTGCAAAATTTATATCAGAGATCAGAACTGCTAGATGAGAATTAGTAGCAAACAAAACTCCCAGGCCCTTCCCTACCCAGGATATTTTGTAATCCATGCTCCCAGCTGGCCCAGCCAGAACTGGTGGGCCTGCCCTAGTGTTGAGTAAGGCACTCTAGCTGGCCATGGGCAAGAAGAGCAGGTGGCAGAGCAGGAGGTAGGGTGGGACAGGAGCCTTAGGGCAGCCTGTGGCCACACCAGGTGCCATCATTTGGCAAGAAGTGCAAGACTGCGAAGTCCCAGGAGATGCCAGGAGAGCAGCACTGGGCTCATGGGGCTGTCTGTCCCCTGAGATGCTCCCAGGCTATGGCACCATGTGCCCACCCCAGCACAGGGTGGCACCAGTGAGATGCCCCCACTGCCTGAGGTGGGCTCCCGTCCCATATGAGCTTCTGCAGAATGTCTTCCCCCACAGGAAAGATGGGACTCAAGCCCCAGACATGCTCACTCACTGGGCTTCTGGAGCAGAGGGGCCTGAAAGAGCTGGGGCAGAGGGGAGTCAGAGGGGCTCTGTATGCCATGCTGTCCCATGAGTGTCCCTATGCCTGCAGCTGGCCCCATGTGGAACAGGTCGCAGGCCTCCAGGCTGGGGACAAGTGGGAGCTTCCCTCTCCTCTAGCACAACATTGGCTCCATGATGGTGATGCCATACTGCATGTGGGATCATGTCCCCTGAGTGAGCTGTCTAGGCTGTCCAGGGGAATCAGTCCATCCTAAAGTTCTCCCAGACTGTGGGGACAATTCCCCCCAGGTCTGCATGCAGTAAAGGGGCAACCCTTTCCAAAGGGAGCCTGCAGCTTGGGAGAGGGAAGGGAGAGCCTGTGAGAGAAGCACAGAAATGGGCTGTACCTTCCCCGGGTCCATTCCTCAAGGATAATAACCAGCACACCTGACAGCAGATTGCTCCCAAGAACCTGCCCTGTGTTTGCACTTGCCATTTGGAAACTGGCCCATGGCAGCTGGCCTGACAGGGTGGGCAGGTACAGCCTCTGCAGCCATGGGGCACCAGGGCCTGGGCAGAGCTGCCGCCTTTGGAGATGCTCCTGCAGTGCCAGGAGACTGGCTGTGTCGAGCCCAGGAGCTACCAGGGCTGTCTTGAAATCTCCGAGCACATCATGTGCCACTACTGTATGACCCGTCCAGAACTGGGTCTTCATACCTATAAACGAGAGAAAAAAAGAGTTTACTTCTCTGCATGCTTAGTATCTTCAGCTCATATTTTAAAACTCTCCCTCAGAAATGCATATTTCAGTGCAGGGTTTTCACCAAATTTACCCTGAATGCCTCACCATAAATGGAAAAGTCTCAAAGCTCATGGAGCTGCATGAAGGTTACGATATGGGATGTTGTAAATGGGATGCCAGCATCTCTGGTTGAGAGCTCTCAGGCTGCTGCGAAACAGCTTTTCTTGCTGGATGAGGTGTGTGTCTTCTGTGCCTCAGATTCGTCTCCCCTTCAGGAGTATGTGCTCTGCCTGCGGGCTGCTTCTTTTTAACCAAGATGCCTTGGTCATCCTACAAGCTCTCCTGCTTGATTTATAGTCAGTATGGTCTTCTTTCAGAAGAATGCAGTATCCTTTTTGCTTTCGAATTATTGGGAGAAAATGGGATTAGAATTCCTTGAAGTAATTAGCTCAGTTTTTGTTGAGAGCAGGGTATTTTTCTTTGGACCATACAAGGTGAAATTGCTATATGAGGGAAGAACGGATGCTGAACTGTGCATATAAATCCCAGATAAGAAAGCACATGACACTTTGAGGGAGAGAAAAAGCAATCTTCATGGGCAAGGAAGATCTGCTGAGAGGCTGCCTGATGCCTCCAACTACCTGGTATGAGGGTTCCCTCACACTCTTCCAAGCAGTGCAGAAAAACAAGCATAGCTACAGGGAACACATCCACTAATTTATCCAAGAGGAGCTGTGCAAGATATGAGAGCTGTGAGAAAGCAGGGCTTTATTTGATCTCATGATCAGCCCCTTGGGGCACCAGTACAGCACATTTTTGAAGCATACAAGGACCACTGGCTTCGCAACAGCCACACGGGGCGGGGGGGGGGGGGGGGGGGGCTGTATGTCCAACCCCTGTCAGGGCAGGAGGAGGAGGCAGCCCTCCATGACTGGCTGCCCAAGCAAAGGAGTCAGGACACCCAGCTTAAATACAACCATGATGCAACCAAATGGATCACAGGAATGGCTGCAGGTTGCTCCCAGCTTGCTTTGCCAAGCACGGTTGTGGTCATGGCAGACGAGATTTCTCTTTTGCAGCATTTCCACATCACCCATCACCTATGGCCCCCATAAGGTGGGGAGGTCGTGGAGGAGAAAGACATGCATTTTCTGAAGCAGCCTTCGTGAATTGCCACCACGGGCCCCCATGTGAACCCATAGTCTTAAAAATAGAAAGTAAAAAGCACCTGCCGGTACCTAGCTGTGGTGGGTTGACCCTGGCTGATGGTTGGAGACCACCAAGCTGCTCTCTCACTCTTCTTCCTCAACAGGACAGATGGAGAAACTAAGGTGAAAAATCTTGTGGGTCAAGGTAAGGACACAGAAATAACTCACCAATTATCGTCACAGGCAACATGGGCTTGACTTAGGGAAGATTAATTTCATTTATTGCCAGTTGATGACAGAGTAGCACAATAAGAAATAAGAACAAAACTAAAAAAATCGCCCCCTGCATCTTTGGGCAGCAGTGGGTCTGTATTGAAGCTGGCTGAAACTGCCTCTGTTCAACACGGGGGCAGCCCCTGGTCTCTTCTCACAGGGGCCATCCTGATAGCTTCCCACTCCCAAAACCTTTCCACACAAGCTCTGAATAGTCTTACTTTTCTCTGGAAACCTGTGCTCAAATGGTGTCACTGTGTTTGCTCTCTCTTGGCTGTCTACATAGCACCAGGGAATATTTTTCATGACAGTGGAAGAAATTTGTGCGTAGGAGCTGCTTGGCACTTGTCCAGAAGAAAAACTAATCATTGCCATCACCTCCTTCACAGTGTTTTGCAAACTCTCAGCATTATGCAATGTCCCTCTCCAGGAAGCAGCTGTTGAGTTTTTCATCTCAGTACTGATGGAGATTTCCTCCTACCTACCAGGTGAAGGGACCAGCTGTTGGCCTGCTCAGTTACTCCAAAGGAACTAATCTGTCTCTTGCCATGGCCACCTTTCTGAAGAACATCACAGCCATTGCGTCCCTCAATGGCCCTGTGGCCAATACAATTATTCCTCTCTGTTACAGGGATAAAATCACTCCCTCTTTGCCCATCCATGAACAAAAACAGATCAAGGTCATCGATTCCAATATTCTTGATTGTTCTGAAGCCTTTGCTGACTGCTTTCAAGCCCCGGGCAACCAAAGCTGAATCCCACTAGAGACAGCTGAGGCTCAGTTACTATTCATTGTTGGGCAGGATGATCACATTGTTAAATCTGAGTGTCATGCTACTGGAGCCTGCAGCCCTTTCTCAGGCTCAAGGGAAGGAAAATTTTCAGATTCTCTCCTACCCTGGAACAGGGCACTGCACTGACCCTCCCTTTTTCCCTCTGCACCCCATAGGAAACCACCCCATTTTTCATAAGCAGGCAATTTGGGGTGGGGATCTCAGGGCTTATTCTGAAGCTCAGGTTCATGCTTAGCCACAGATCCAGGCTTTTTTCAACAAACATTTAAATAACAACTAATGTGCAGGAAAGACACAGCTTTAAATGACCTCACCTGACAGACTTTTTCATACTTATCAGGCCAAACCCTGTTTGCAGCTCTTCCAATACAACTACAGTATCTTCCATGTCTTTGTACACCCATAACTCAGAAAAGAACTGGGTTTGCTCTTTCTGTTTTTCCCTGAACCTTTTTGCTCAACTATCAAGAAAAGGAATGGCAAACAGATGTACATTAGCCCTTGATAAAATAGATCATGTGCAAAACGCAGTTACATTTCTTAGGTGCTTTCTAATCTTCTAATACTTGACTGTACTTTACATATCACCGTGGTCTCTACATGCACACGCTATCCTCAGCTCACACTCAACACATCTCAAATGGTAATTTTGGAGCAGGGATTTCACCACTCTTATAGTGAATGTCTCATCACAAATGGAGATGTCTTCTATCCCTGTGCTGCTGGAAGAGGATGGAATGGATGCTACAGCCAGGATGCCAGGGTGTCTCTGGTTAACCCTCGGGAAGGGTTGTTTGCCCTCTCTGCCTCCTTTCCATCTTCCCTTCAGAAGGAAGTGCTCTGGCTCATGGATACTTCTGGCCCCAAGATGTCATGCAAAAAGCCATTCTCCTGAACTTACAGCCATTGTCATCTTCTCCCACACAATGTGGAACCTTTTCAGCTTTGTTGTTAGGGTGAGAATTGTAATAAAGAGGCTGAGATTTGAAAGCCATGGAGCCATGTGCTCTGCTTTGGTTAAACAGAAGTAGGGATCTTTGCATCTTGACCACTCTCTCCTCGCAGGATGGAACTTGCAGGAGCTTGGGAGCAAGGGCTGCCCAGATGGGCAGAGGAGGCCAGAGAACACTGACAAGTAGCCCACTTACCTTCACTCTTCCACTGCTCTTGGGGCACCAGGTGTGAAGGAGGAGGAGTTTTGCTTAAGCCTTCAGGGCCCTTTCCCTTAGCATCTGCTCCAGTATATGGTCACACTGGTGATCAAATCCAGCACTGCAAGCCAGAATGTTGTCCTCAACAACAGAAGTTGCCAGACACTGAGGGCTGGACACCAGACAACATACCCAAACGCAAGATGACAAAGCACCTCACCTGTTTAGGAGAAATGGGGTAATCTCCGTGGGGAACAAAAGACTGCTGAGATTCTGCCCAATACCTCTGACCTCTTAGTATTTCAAAACAGGACAATGCCGAGGATTTCTTCAGATGTTTCCACTTGTTTCACACCACTAAGTCAGACATGGAGAGCTCTGAGCAAGAGGCACCTCTACCTGCATCTCCCAGAAGGAGTCAGGGAGCCTGAGGAAGCAGGTCTCCCTTTGCAGTTCCCTTTGGAGCAAAAGATCCAGCTCTGGGTAAGACAGCCTGAATGACCTTTTTAAACCCTCGCACAATCCATTACTGGAAGAGCCAGATGTTTCCTGGCCTGCCTAAAGAGTCTGTGAAAGCGCCCGTCCCTCATGCCTCCCACACCCCTGACCACCTTTCCCAATTCATCTGGCTGTGTAGGTGTCAGGGCTGGGCAGAGCCTGGTGGAGACATAATTTGCCTCGCCCAGGCCTTGAGGCAACCAACATGGAGGAAGTGGTGGCAAGAAGACATGAAGCAATGCCGGGCTAGCACTGCTTTGGCTTCTCCCCGCCTCGGCTGGGGCTGGGCCTCGCTCCGGTCCCTTGGCCAAGCTGCGCGGCCCCACTTGCGGTCACTGCGGGCTGGCACGCCCCTCTGCCGTCCCGGCTCCACTAGATGTGCGTAGGTGGGCGGGAAGCC